TGAACCGGAGCTGCATTTTACGTAAAGTTACTAGCAGGGGCGGACCCAGCAGCAATTCTAGGGGGGGCTAATTTTTTTCAATATATATCGTGAATAACATACTAAAATAGTATATACTGAAGTCGACAAAGCACAAATTAAATGTTCAGAAAAGTGGAAAATTTTTGGAATTTTTCAAAAATGCTAATATATTTTAGAATTCTAAGAATTTTCTAGGTTTTATACACAAATATCATGAACATAAGAATTTTGGATGTTTCACATCTTTACATTTTAGGATGGATTTCAAAATAAATAAAATTCTCAAAATTTTGGAAAATATAAAAATTTCTAAAATCTCAATAATTTTATACATTTCAAAATATTCTCATTTTACCAAAATTTTTAGAATCTCCCAGATTTCGAGTTTTTAAAATTTTGGAAATTATCGTAGTAATAAGAAATAATAATTAATAAAATAATAAATTTAATAATTTCATAAAATTCAAAATTTTGTAATTTTAGTTATTTTCTAAACATGCGAAAATATTCAAAATGGCTGTGACTTTCAACTATGTAAAATATTACAAATTCGGAAATACAAAAAAAGTAAAAATTGAAAATTAAGTATTTTGAAAATTTTGAAAATTCAGTGAATTCGAAGAACTGATAGGCATTTTTCACCATGTGTCATAGTTATATGATACAAATATAATTTTTCAGAAAAATAACGAAATTGATCAAACATTGCGCAATTTTGCGGACGCAGATACAGTCAACAATTGCGCAATTTTGTAAGTGCTCATGATGTTGCAGGAAAATCGCACTCACGTGTGTTCACAGGGTGGCTTAAATACAAAAATGTATAATATTGTTTTAAAAGTGGTACTCGTTCCAAAAGGGGTATTTTTACCTTAATGATAAAAAGATAATTTTTCAATTCTCTCGGCACACGCACAACGAAGTTAATTGCACTGCTTTATTTTTAATATAGGGATCAGGGGCCAAGCAAAAATTACCAAAAACTCATGAAACAGAACGAAGCAAGAAGAAGAACTATCAGTATTTTCTTTAAGTTTTCCTAAAAATTCTATACTGTACAGCACTCGGCTGGGTATTGGACCAAACCATTTTTTTAGGAGATTGATTCATAATTAAAAAAGTAATTTCTCGGTTTTTCGAAGTTAGCCTCCAAAATTGAGCCATGTGCCTTCGAAGTTCGAAATTGGACCTTTGGTAAAAAATTATTTTTAATTACTGTAAACTACTAAAAAAAAGTAAAACCATAGTCGTGGTACACCTTTTGCTTTTATTTAAACTGTATATAACTTTTGCTTGTGTAAACTTATATTACAGAACTTCGAAAGCCCATATCTCGATTTCGGAGGCTAACTTTGAAAAACGGAGAAATTACTTTTTACTTATGACTCAATCTATTAACAAATCTTAACATAAATGGAAAGTATCAATCAATTGCAATTTAGTATTATTTTAGTCGATTGCCAATGGTCACACAATGAGATATCAACGAATATTCGAAAAATTTAGCTTATACGAAAAACTATCATAAATTCATGAATATGGTATAGATTCTTACCAGGCTTGTTGCGAATAATCTCATTCGCATTCGCAACCGCGGAGCTTCCGCATTAATTTTAACATTCGCAATAATCAATGCGGAGCTTCTGCGAATGCGAATATTTTGCAAGTGGACCGATAAAACGTATATATGGCAAAAAAAATTACATATTGTAGCCAATATTTTTGCCTGTGGTCGTAGGAGTATTTGTGTAACAAAACTGGTCAAATGTCATATATATCAACTTTGATAAAAATGTCTTTAAAATATTATTTCTTAAGCTATATAACGGAGCTGTCAATGGGCAGCCATAAAAGTTCCCACATCTACTGACTTTTGACGTACGTCAAAGAGAACATAGCCCTTTTAATAATATTTTTTTTTCAGTGCTTTAAATACCTGCCTTGCTTTCTTTTTATTATGATATTTTTGGACCAATCTTAAAAAACTACCAGACATAAAAGAAGAAAGTGTACACTGTAATTCTTAACCAAATTTTCGTTATTTGCTTTTGATGTTAAATATATTCGTTTCAATAATTTCAAAAGGGGCTCTTTGGGGAATTTATTTTTAGCATAAATTTTAGAAACAGTAGTTTTGTTTACTTGTTGTACAATTTTTTTTCATAGGGATATGCAGTGGATCCTTAGCTAAAAACTTCTGTGGTAAAACTGTCCCTTCTTTGCTATTTAAAGTCAATGAGTAAGCTCCTTCAATAGGCATTTCCAGTAGAAATGATCAACGTCTAGCTATAAAGAGAATCGATGCTCAAGTAATTAAAACGCTATAGGTCTGACCTTTAATTAGATAAGAATTACGTAACTATCTGTTATTCAAATGCTTATAAAAAACGGAGTGCTTTAAAAAAATAACAATATTCTGATCCGATTCGGCTGGCAGCCACGACTTTGAAAACAGAATTTTGTTCAAAAATAATAATCTATTTTCCACATCCACCTATTTAGCTCGCTATAAGCTCAAATTTTTCAAAGCAGTCGCAGAAGAAATTATTAAAAATGAATTACAAAAACTAAAATCGAAAAGTGCTGATAAAGTTACAGGTTCTCCAAATTCTTAAACAACATGACATATGTATCTGGTTTGGCTTGTAAGCGCTGTTTAAACAACGATCTCGCTATTAAGCTAGTTTCTAATTGTTTTTTAAAAATACTTGACATCTGCATTCGCATTCGCATCCGCGGATGTTAGCTGTTAGATATTCGCATCCGCGGATGTCTAAAATTCCACATCCGCAACATCCCTAATACTTACCATCGCAGACTGCAGCGTCTTTTGTTTACAGGAATTGTTTCTCAATAATAAGATCCATAGTACAAAATAAATCACAAAATGACAATCTACAGTGCTTTTCAATCAGCTATAAGTATTCCCATATCTGGGGAACTAATTGATTAGTTCACAGATGGAGGTGAATGTATTTCCAAGATTTACCCACTGAGTCGCGCGTCTTTCAAAATTTAACACTTTTAGATGAACCAATTAACTTAACGGACACTGCGGGCAAAAAAAAATGGAACAAAGAAAACGAAAACCACAAGAAAAGTGACACTGAACAAATAAATGCGACAGAAGGTAAAAAAGTGAACACATCGGAAGGTAACAGAATGAACAACATAGAAAAAGTGAACAACGGAAATTTTGACAGTGCGCGCTACACAAATAGGCACAGGGGTGTCTTTTGTATTTTAGTAGACACGTTAAAATCCAGGGTTGGTGGAAGGTGTTCTGATTTAATTTTGGTAATTTTTTTTATAAAAATGTAGTCTTAAAAAAAGCCCGCTTAAATTCAAGTTTCCAAATTTGTGCAATATTAAAAAAAAATCAACAAACTTTCGTACAAATTTCGATCTTTTTCAACAATTCTAAAAAATAAATCGTAGTTTTAAGCCATTTTAAACTGGTACTTTATTCTGTTTACTAGAAATCAATGGGCTACAAAACTGCATACTCAGAATCTAATTAAAAAAATTTGCAGTCAAAATAGTTTCTTAAAGGATTTTTTGGATGACAGAACAGTTTAAGCTTCAAAAATCTACACTGCCGGAACAAAGTATTGGCACAGCAAATTTTTCACAATATATGCAAAAAAATTTTGTTCTAATATTTTTTCGCTAATTTCGTATAAAAACATGGCCCATTCTACAACAAAAAACATAAAAATATCATTCCTAAACTTTGTGCAAAACTCGCGAAAATTCAGTGAATTTAATCAGATTTTTATAGAATTTTTTTGAGTATGCAGATTTGTAGCCCCATCAATTTTATTATAATAATGTGCAAGTTCTAAGTAGCTCGGAATTACCTTTGATTTTTGGTAATTTTTTTTTTTACGTAGTCTCTTCCATACAAAAATTTTTTTCGAAAATACTTTATATAACTGCAAGAAAACGTGGTAGTTTCGGTGCCTAGTGGAAGGCGTCGTAAAAAAGAAGCAGACCAATCTTCATGGAAGAGCGAACGCGAAAAGCAAAAAAAAGATAGCTATGTAAAAGTTACTGTTTCAAAAATCGCTATATTCAATTTTTATATATAAAATTTGCAAAAACTACCGCATTGCCATATTGTTTTTTAATGTTATTAGGCTCTTGTTTACCCAAATTTTCAGATAATAAAGAGAAATATACAATTTGGATGTTACTTGTTGTTGTAGACGTTTTTTAAATTATGGCCCACTATTATAAAATCACATAACGCTGCTTGCAAGTGGACTACTCATTTGTGCAATATTAAAAAAAATTCCTCAAACTTTCGAACAAATTTCGAACTTTTAAAAATTCTAAAAAATCAATCGACATTTTTAGCCATTTGAAACGTGTACTTTATTCTACTAGAATTCAATGGGCTACAAAACTGCATACTCAGAATTTAATTAAAGAACTCCAAATTTTAACGATTTTTCTTGTAGATTTTTTTTTTTTAATTGCATAAATTGTTAAGACAATGTAACTCTATTGGTACATTTGTACTGATTTGTAAATTT